AAACTACTCCACCTGGTATGACTTTACCAAGGCCTACGACTCCATTAACCACGAACAACTGAAAAGGATGATGAACACCCTCCCTCTCCCAAGAATTGTCCGCCAAGTATTGCGCCAAGCGGTAGGACTCTGGTCAATAAGAGTGAAAGCAGGAAAGGGCCTCTCCAAACCCATATATGTCAAAAGAGGAGTATACCAAGGTGACACCATAAGTCCAATGCTATTTGTGCTAATAACAGCTTCAATATTGGTGCACCTTAGAGAAGATCCTGAGATCAACCGACTTACCAAAGGCAAGCATGTAATTATGGCCTTTATGGATGACATCAAGGTGCACACACCAACAAAGGAAGGCAGCAGAATAATGACAGAGGAACTAAGGAGGGGAGCACAAGAACTGGGGCTAAGGCTCAATGAGAACAAATGTGGACTGTACAGCCGAGACCAAGAGGGAGAAGTGATAGACCAAGACCCACCATTTCTCCCAGAGATCAGAGAGGCATACACCTACCTAGGCATTGAGCAGCTGGAGAGAGATACACAAAAAAATTACGAGAACATACAGACTAAAGTCAAACAAAAGACTGAAGTAATTTTTTCCTCAGAGCTCTCAACAAACCAAAAAGTAGAACTTTATAACAGCGTCATCGTTTCCGCAGCCATATATGTCCTGGGTAATATATACCCCGACGAAAAACTAGCTACTTCCCTACTGAAATGCAAAAAAATGGATGACAACATTCGAAAATCTCTAGTCCAACACAACATCAAGGGCAAAACAACATCAAATGCCAGGGTATATCTCCCAACCCTCAAGGGGGGCTTAGGTATAAGATCCATAGAGCTGGAAACCGAACTCCAACTTGTGAGGAAAGGAGTGTACCTCGAGAACCACCCAGACACGAAGGAGGCGCTACAAAAATTCCAAAAATTACAAGCTAAAGGCTGGAGGAACCCAATTACAGACATGGGTAGGGTGCTGGAGAAGTATGAGTGCACAAATATTGAGGTCGACATGGAGAGAGATCTAAAAAAGCTAACACAAAAAATCGTGAAGAGGGTCAGAGAAAGGCAGATAGCCAGGATAGAAGTAAAGTGGGCCACACATATGCACTACCCCAAACGTGTAGTTAAAGAAGGAAACAAAATAACTTTCCCCGCATACACTTCACCATTTCTTGATGGCTGGAGACTGACCCTACTACAAGCAGCCGCAGAAGAACAGATTCATGGGCTGGGGGCCATCCCAGAATACCGCAGGAGGTGCAGAAGAGGCTGTGCAAATGACGAAACGGCGTACCACGTTGCCACAGCATGCCCAAGCAACGAGTTCATCACCAGACACGACAACATAGTATATTGGATACTAAAGGCCATACTGGGTGCGACCGGAGCTCCAAAACCAACCACGGAGAGCTTATTCTTCGGTAAGGCAACCCTGAACGCGCAGTACACCAACATTAAGAACCAAAGGAACATGACAGTAATAGCAGGCCACCCAATAATAACTGAATATACTCTACATCACAATAAGCCTGATATCCTGGTGAAACTGGAAAACCCCACTGAAGTAATAATTTTGGAAATTGCAGTATCACATATCCAAAATTACAGAGACCAAGAAATGCTGAAGCACACAAGATATGCTGTAAATTCTGTGGACAACATAACCAATGAAAATGCCACATCCATTAGTCGCAAAGCAAATCTGGTCACTGAGGTGGGGAACATGCATGCTTGCTCGGCGGAACTGGGGATATTTGTGGTTGGATGCTATGGAGAGATCATTACGACTGAAGCCCATAACAAATGTATCAAATTACTCAAGAGGCTTGGTCTAAGTGATCTGGACTGCAAAGGACTGGTAAATAAGTGCAGCTACTCAGCAGCAGTATCAACTTCAACAATCCTGATGAGGAGGCTGCAGAAATAGGGCACTACCCTACAAACTACCCAAGTATTCTGTATATGTGATAAACCAAATGTGATATTTTTTTGTAATGTAATCAAATGTGATAAAATGTATATATTTACACACAATGTAGTATTTTATAATAAGACAGTATGTAAATAAAGAGATATTATAGACCATATGGGAGATGCTTAAAGGAGAAAGGATTGTACTCCAAGCGAGTGAAATACAAAAAGTTTTTTTAGAAAACAGAAAATAGCACACGGCGCGTACGTCAGTACGAGGTGTTCAGAATGTTACAATTATTGTATTGGAAATTTTTTACCGAGACCAGGAGGGAGAAGTGTAGACCAAGACCCACCATTTCTCCCAGCGATCAGAGAGACGTACACTTACCTAGGCATTGAGCAGCTGGAGAGGGTTACACAAAAAAAATACGAAAACATACAGACTAAGGTCAAACAAAAAACTGAAGTAATTTTTTCCTCAGAGTTCTCAACAAACCAAAAAGTATAACTTTAAAACAGTACCTACCGTTTCCGCAGCCATTTATGTCCTGGGTAATATATACCCCGACAAAACTGGCAATTACCATACTAAAATGCAAAAAAATGGATGACAACATTCGAAAATCCCTAGTCCAGCACAACATCAAGGGCAAAACAACATCAAATGCCAGGGTATATCTCCCAACCCTCAAGGGGGGCTTAGGTATAAGATCCATAGAGCTGGAAACCGAACTCCAACTTGTGAGGAAAGGAGTGTACCTCGAGAACCACCCAGACACGAAGGAGGCGCTACAAAAATTCCAAAAGTTACAAGCGAAAGGCTGGAGGAACCCAATTACAGGCATGGGAAGGGTGCTGGAGAAGTATGAGTGCACAAATATTGAGGTTGACATGGAGAGAGATCTAAAAAAGCTAACACCAAAAATCGTGAAGAGGGTTAGAGAAAGGCAAATAGCCAGGATAGAAGTAAAGTGGGCCACACATATGCACTACCCCAAACGTGTAGTTAAAGAAGGAAACAAAATAACTTTCCCCGCATACACTTCACCATTTCTTGATGGCTGGAGACTGACCCTACTACAAGCAGCCGCAGAAGAACAGATTCATGGGCTGGGGGCCATCCCAGAATACCGCAGGAGGTGCAGAAGAGGCTGTGCAAATGACGAAACGGCGTACCACGTTGCATGCCCAAGGTGGGCATTGCCCAAGCAACTAGTTCATCACCATGGCATGACAACATAGTATATATACTATATAGGATACTAACCCTGATAGCACACTTTATTCTAAGAATGTTTTTTAAACTTTCCAGTGGGAATATTCTTAGGATCATGCTATATTTCTTCTAGGCATGTTCTAAGAATGTTTTTTAAACTTTCCAGTAAGAATATTCTTAGGATCATACTATATTTCTTTTAAAGAACATGCTTAAAAGAAAGCATGATCCTAAGAATATTCTTACTGGCCTATAGGCAGGTTCTTAGAAGGTGCAAAGTTTTAGTGGTAAAAATTAGTCTACTCTAAACATATGCTTAGAATATTAAGAAAGTAATTGCTATAGAAAGTTCATTTAGGAATATTCCTGTTAAGCATATTTAGTTCAGTTACTTATATAATAGTAAAATATACCATAAACTACGTATAAAGGTATACTTATACCCATACTTAAGTACCTAATTAGTAATTAGTATTAAATACTAAGTAAAAAACACAATCCAAAATATTTTTTATAGTTATTTGATAAATTAAAACAATATTCGATAACAAAAATACTTTTACTATAGGTATTTTATTTTATGTGAAAAATAAATATTTATTAATTTGTATACCGATTTATTATTTCTGAATTAACATTTTTATGTATAATAATATCCTAACTATCTTCAACTTCAATCTAATCTGACTTATCACACTAAATTTTCCAATTTTACTTTTTATGAAATAATGTCATAGAACTTATGGTTTAGAGATCAAATTGTTTATTTAATATTTTTAAATATAGTATATTATGTATCAAGTTTTATAAATGCCATTTTAGTTACGAGTTTAATTAAGCGCGAGCAAGTGTTTAATAAAAACGAGTGTCTAGAGAAGTTTATAAACGAGTTGCATACTATACTTTATCTACTACGAACACAAAACAGAATTTAAAGCCAATTTTATTTGTTAAAATTATGACATCTGTTAACTGTCACCCGAATTTAACCTCACTTTTTCCCAATTTATAATAAAGCTAACTTCAGCCCGTGGCGTAAAATGTCGAAAAGCCACTGTTGTTAACTTCAGCCCGTCAATAAAACGCCATAAAGTCACAGCTCGTCAATGTAGGAGTAGTTAAAATATATTAATATGTCGCAAAATTTTTTAAGGGGACGACAAATACATTTCACTGTCATATTATGACAGTGAGGCGTATTTGTCGTCTCCTGAAAAATTTTACGAATGTAGAATACAACATATTAGAACGTGGGTATCTGACATTTGGAAATATTCTCAAAAGCTTCCTAGAAGCTCCATAAGAAACCTTCTAAGAACATTCCAAAAACGTATTCTTAAAATGTTCTTGGGATGCTTTTTAAGAAGGTTTTAAGAAGCTTTTAAGAATCTAATTGCATCATTAAAAGGGTATCTATTGAATGTTTTAAAAGTCTCTAAGAACATTCTTAGCAATAAGGGAAGCTTTTAAGAATATTTCATTATTCCGAGTCATATCTTCTTAGAAGATTCTTAAAATCAAATTTTGCTATCATGGCTGGAGCACTTTAATTTTACGTTATTTATTTACAGACTTATTGAAATCTGAAAATTCTGTATCTTTGACTATTTCAGAAATAGTATTTCTCAGGTTCGTATTTGTATCCTTATAAACTATAGTTATAAGTATATTAGGAACAAAAATACATAAAACCCTATATATATTTTGCAAAAAATATCTCGAAACGTTTTTGGATTTTTTTGCACGTCATCAATGCGATATATGATTTGGATTTGGACTATATTTCTGTTGCTTATTTCAGGAAATTATTTGAATGCTCGTTATACCAATTTTTAGCAAAACATATTTACAAATCAATTTCTAGCGTATAAAGATGGAGAGATTTAAATGTGTAGATGATGTTCCATTGATATCGAGGGAGAAGTGCCTTAAAACGCCCGAGTATAAATCTATTGCTCTGCAAAATATCTGCGCTGGAGACGGAGGAGATGCCAAATTTTGCCACGATTTTAGGATAATATTGGTAGATCTTTAATGTGTGATAACAAATTAACGGGGATATTTGTATATGGATTAAACTGTGAAATACATCCTAGTGTATATGTAAACATGTTTAAATATACACATTTTATTTTGTTTTACGGATTTAATTTCAATCCACTCAATAAACATTGATATGCATATCAATGTTCTTTGAGTGGATTGAAATTAAATCCACATTAAACAAAATAATTCACCAGATACGCCTCACTGTCATAATATGACAGTGAAATGTATTTGTCGTCCCCTTGTATATTTATTTAAAAATATTAAATAAACAATTTGACCTCTAAACCATAAGTTGTATGACATTATTTAATAAAAAGTAAAATTGGAAAATTCCAAAAGTCAGATATCTAATATTAGATTGAAGTTGAAGATAGTTAGGATTATTATACATAAAAATGTTAATTCAGAAATAAAAAATCGGTATACAAATTAATAGATATTAATTTTTAACATAAAATAAAATATAAAAAAACAAAATATTTCCTTATAAAATAATTCTTCATAAAAGAAAAAACCAAATAGTTCTTCATAAAAAAACATTTTTCATTGTATTTAAGTTGGATAGAAGATTTTATGTAAAATCCGGATAATTTAGATACTTATAGTAAAAGTATTTTTGTTATCGAATATTGTTTTAATTTGACAAATAACTATAAAAAAATATTTTGGGTTGTGTTTTTTACTTAGTAAGTATTTAAAACTAAGTATAGGTACCTTTATACGTAGATTATGGTATATTTTACCTAACTGAACTGAATATGCTTAACAGAATGTTCTAGGAATATTCCTAAATGAACTTTCTATAGCAATTACTTTCTAAACATTCTAAGCATATGTTTAGAGTGGATTAATTTTTACCACTAAACTTTGCACCTTCTAAGAACCTGCCTATAGGCCAGTGATAATATTCTTAGGATTATGCTATATTTCTTTTAAGCATGTTCTTTAGAAGAAATATAGCATGATTCTAAGAATATTCTCACTGGAAGGTTTAAAAAACATTCTTAGAACATGACTAGAATAAACATAGCATGATCCTAAGAATATTCCCACTGGAAGGTTTAAAAAACATTCTTAGAATAAACTGTGCTATCAGGGAAGTGGAAGAATGTTCCATGATCAAACTTTGCCCTTTTGATGTATTACTTTTTATATCAAATACAGTCGTTCTATTATTATTATTATATTTGTCGGTGTGTTTGTTTTTAAGATAAGAACGCATACAGTACAAAAGACTGATTTAAATATAATCGGTTTAGACGAATCTACGTAGTCTGGGTTGCCTATTTGGTTTTCATACATTTGAGATATTATAGAAGAACACTCGGTTGCCTATTTTATGGACACTATTGATTTATTTACGTTAAATACAACAGAATCTTGTAAATACAGATGGTTTAGTTGGACTCCAGATATTACAAAAGATATCTGCGGATCTTGGCAATACAACGAGCCTCAAATAATTATTTTTTCTTAGTTAACACCGGGACAGCGCGTACGCAGTCCCGACTACCAAAAATTATGCGCCCGAGTTATCCGCATTAGGGATAATCGCAAGGGTCAGCCCGACCGTAGTGCAATGGACAGGCCTCGCCTCGGAGGAACCGCCTTATTGATCAAGGTTGACCTCTACGCCAGGTAAGTATGCTTTTTCGAGCCCAGCCTCTCCCTTATATTACCCGAACAGTCGGTCACAGCGGTGAGATGCAATGACAAGCATGCGTTTGACTCGTGGCATCAAAATGCACTGCCTAGGTGGTTTGGTCTAGGATGCACTGGTTGTACGCTTAATCATATAACAAAAAATGAAGGGGTAAGAAGCAAAAGTTCATTTATTACAGAATTGGGTACTCTAAATTGGGATTTAACGTGAAAATTGTATGAGTTCTGCATGTTAATTAGCGCAAACAACAGTATTCAGATTTGTATATATCAAAAACTTTAAGAGTTAATAACTCCACTTCTCTTTTTTGCTTCTTAACCCTTCAAATATGGCTTAGATATTACATCGTTTGCACATTTTCACACTAAACTTAAAATTTGTTAAAAATGATTATGAATATTCTTTATGAAAAGTACGTTTAAAAACCAAACATGTTTGCCATCTGATCGCGAACTTCGTTCAAAAGATTGAATATCGTATTTAACCATCAATAATAATAAAAAAATTAGAACAAAATGCACGCATATAACGTCAGTAATTGTATTCAGTATTGTATTCTCCCTAACATTATAAACAAAATGTACAAAAAGCTTTTTGTTTAATTACTTAAATATGGGCCGATCCCGGCGGTACTGCAATACCGGGCCAACCCGCGACGGGAGTGGAGCAAGCCCCTAACTCCCGTCAATTTCCAAAAATCAGTTTAATATACTGGCACCGCATGCGGTGCGTATCAGATATTAAGCTGATAAGAACAGATACTACACTTTGATCTTAGCCATAGGCCGAGAAGCGATAACGAAAACTCATACCACCCCATGTTATAAGCAAAAGTTTTACCCTAGCACAAGCGAGAAAAATCCAACAGTGACGGGCGCCACCTAGGGACGCCGCGTCAAAACAAGAATTGATGTTTGACGCAGCACGGTGGATTTTTAGGGTCAATTTTCGGATCATCACTGATGATCCGAAAATTGACCCTAAAAATTCATCAGGCAACCACGGTTTTTTTTCATAAATCGATTATATGCCTGTTATAGACAAAAATTACCAAAAATAAAAAAAATCTCTCGGTTTTTTTGTTATTTATTAAGAAAAATATAATATAAATGGGTCTAATTTTACTTTTTTGGTTATTTTGCAAAAAGTATCAATTTTATCAAAATTCTGTTTTAACAAAGATAGAATAATAAATTTTCTACAAAAAAGGTTATTACCACATTTGCTTTCCTGTAATTTTTAAACGTAGTTTTTCTAAACAAATGTTTTGCTTAATTTTTTTTATTTAACTTGGGAAAAAAATTTGTTGGTCGGCCTTTCTGTAGATAAGTTTTTAGAAATTGATCTCTTTTTCGATTGTAATACTTTAGGACTAAGAAAAAATCGATAAAAGAAGCATAGAATTAAAAAAAAATCACTAAAAAGAAATACCTAAAAAATCTACTTTTTTGATGCGATATTTAATTTTTAATCATAGTTACCCAAGCAAAATGTAAACGTCAAAACCCGAAAAAAAGGTTTTTCAAGATTTTAAGTGATAAGAACCAAAGAATTAAGTTAAATTTTTTTTTCGACTTAATTAAATAATATTAATTCTAAGTATTATTATATATAATTGAAGAGAGGAAATAAGAAAAGGCTTTTTTACATGTGCCATGCTTTGCAACCTATGAAAAATTCTAATTGCCAAAATTACAATTTACAGCCGCGGCTAGCCGGTCGAGGGATGCAGGTGCTTACCTGGCTTTTATTTAGTTTTTTTCGATTATCTCAAAACTTTATTTTTGGCACTTAGACCCTTTCTAATTTCCACTCTACAATAAAAAATATATAAAAATTACTTTATAATGTAGAAACTTTATCCACTTTTATGTGTCAATGTAATTCCAATTACAAGAACCAGCAAATGCGATTTTTAAAAAATTTATAACTTTGTACGGATATTACTCCTAAAGTATATATACATCAGGCAACCACGGTTTTTTTTTCATAAATCGATTATATGCCTGTTATAGACAAAAAATACCAAAAATAAAAAATATATATATTACAAAGAAAATGCTTATAACCTTTTTTGTAGAAAATTTATTATTCTATATCAATGTTAAAACAGATTTTCGATAAAATTGATACTTTTTGCAAAATAACCAATAAAGTAAAATTAGACCAGTTTATATTATATTTTTCTTAATAAAAAACAAAAAAACCGAAAGATTTTTTTTATTTTTGGTATTTTTTGTCTATAACAGGCATATAATCGATTTATGAAAAAAAAAACCGTGGTTGCCTGATGATCCGAAAATTGACCCTAAAAATCCACCGTGGCAAGGTCATCGAAGAGGTATATGGTAAAGAAACTTGGTTTTTCTATAAAGCATATATAAAAATAAATATATGACAAGATTATTTTCCGATATTTTTATCATTCTAAATTCATTTGACTTTATTTTATATTTTTTGCTGTCGAAAATGTATTTTCCTATACTTCACTGATTTTCAGTAAAATGAGCTTTTTAAACTTTTTATAATATAATTTATAATATATTTCTCATATTAAACGAGTTAGTAGGAAAATCCTACTAGGAATACCAGTGGTATTCCTAGTAGGATTCCTAGGATTCGGAATATTATAGAGGTGTGTAGTTCGCGAACGAACTAGTTCAAAAGATCGAATTTCGTAACTGAACTAAAAGATTCAATCACCAAAACTAAAAAGAGCGAATCAATTCGAACTAAACTAAAAATCCGTAGATATATTTCATTATATCCGTATTTACTAATGGATTTTTTTTCACGCAAATTCGTAATTGTCCCTAAAATAGGCAACCAAATCAACCACTTAATGGTCTTGGCAACAGCGTACCATTTTGACCAGCAGCAAGTGAAATTCCAAGAACACTTCTTTGGTGCAAATCAATCAATCAATCTCAATATAGTTCACTTGAACTACTAGAGAAGTGTAGTTCGTGAACGAAACTACGTAAATCCGACAAATCCGATTATAAATCAGTGAACTAAACGAACTAGTCTTTTGTACTATTCACTTTAATGAACGAGATCGAAAGTGAACTAAACTTCCCACCTCTAGAATATTATACCACAATTTCAAATTACAAATATTTAGGTTTTATTTACTTAACAGGGCCCGACTTTCGTCAGGCCAACAAAAAATTGTTTGTAGACTCATTTGAGTTGTACCTCTCCACGGAAATCTTTAGTAAAAGGCGAAAGATTTATTCGCTTATTGAAGAGATACCAGAGTGACTGGAAATTTGTTAGTTCCCGTACTTATATACCCAAACCTAGATAAACAGCGGCGTTGT